GCCGTATTCCAAGTGTGGTCTTACCAAGGCCTTATAAAGTGGTATTAACACTTCATGTGATCTTGATTCTCTTCCTCTGTTGATGCCGCCTAGAACTGTGTTGGCTTTTTTGGCAACTGCTGCACATGGCTGGCTCCTATTTAAATGGTTGTCCACTAGGACTCCAAGATGTTTTGGAAGAGTTCTCTTGCTTGTCCTACCAAATTTCTCCTCTTGTGCCTTACAGTTGCTCACAAAGCCCGGAGCTGAAGATAGTGGTGATGAAGGGACAATCAACATCCAAGCCATTGAGGAAGGTCAGAGGAAGGGGCTGCTGGGGGGCGGGGAATGTTGGAGTGTGGGGCTTGTGGGGGAGGCAACACTGGGATGGGAGGACTTGCATCTTTGAAGGTGGCCTAATCTAGTTTTTTAACCTTCATGAGAAAGGCGGGGCTAGATGAATCAAAAATTGGAATTAAGATTGCCAGGAGAAATATCAACAACCTCAGATATGCAGAGGATGCCACTCTAATGGCAGAAAGCGAAGAGAAACTAAAAAGCCTCTTGATGCTGGTGAAGGAGGAGAGTGCAAAAGTTGGCTTCAGTTCAAACTCAACATTAAGAAAAGTAAGATCATGGCATCCAGCCCTCTCAATTCCTGCCAAATAGATAGGGAAGAAATGGAGGGAGTGACAGATTTTATTTTCCTGGGCTCCAAGATCACTGCAGATGAGGACTGCAGTCAAGAAATTAAAAGAGGCTTGCTCCTGGGGAGGAAAGCAATGGCAAATCTAGACAGCAGACTAAAAAGCAGGGATATCCCCGTGCCAACCAAAGTGCTTATAGTCAAGATTCTGGTTTCCCCAGTTGCAATGGATGGCTGTGAAGGTTGGACCCTAAAGATGGCTGAGTGCCGAAGAATGGAGGCCTTTGAACTCTAGTGCTGGAGAAGACTCCTGCGATCCCTTGGACTGCAAGGTGATCCAATCGGTCAGTCCTAGAGGAGATCAATCCTGACTGCTCTTTAGAAGGCCAGATCCTGAAGAGGAAACTCAAATTCTTTGGCTAGCTAATGAGAAGGAAGGACTCCCTGGAGAAGAGTCTCATGATGGGAAGGATGGAGGGCAAACGAAGAAGGGGATGGCAGAGAAGGAGGTGTCTGAATGGAGTCACTGAAGCAGTCGGCGTGAGCTTCAATGGACTCCAGAGGATGGTAGAAGACAGGAAGGCCTGGAGGAATGTTGTCCATGGTGGGTTGGGCACGATTTCACAACTAACAACAACAACCATTGCTTCTATTTTGGCCAGGGAAAGACACAATGGCGTAGGCAGGAAGTTTGTTGCGCACCAAGAGAGGTTATAAAGACATGTTGGAACCATATTGATCCAGGGGTCTCCAGACTTGGAAACTTTAAAATTTACAGACTTCAACTCCCAGAATTCCGCAGCCATCAGTAACACAACAGAGAAGCAAAACCCCAGATGCCAGGGTGCAACTTAGCTTTTTGATAGATTATTAACTTTGGGGGGCGGGAGAGTAGCATGGTGGCCTAGAGGTGAAGACACTTGCCCCCCACTCAGAAGGTTGACAGTTCAATCCTAGACAGCGACAGATGTTTCTCTCTCTGTGACACAAAGAGAAAATATCTGCTGTGAACTCCGCATAGGTGTCAGGAACGGCATCCGGCCAGCAAATGCACAGCTCCATTCAATTTCCCTGACTCCACCTCAAATCAAAGAATTAAAGTACCCTATACATATATTTCAATATGTTATAAATTCCACTTTTTTCTGTTTCTGTTGAGCAGCTGAAGATTCCCCAACACTGTGCAAGTTGGATAACTATTTTTTTTCTCTTTACAGTACTGAAAAAAGGATTGATGAAGTCTCCTCAGCCCCCTTCTTTCCCACCCTCAGCTCGCCGAGTGTCTTTGCCTACTTCGGCCTTCTCTGGCCATCAAGCAAAAATGGCCATAAACAGCGGTAGGTAGAATTGTAGCAAGGTGTATCACAATGATTGCCACCTTTGGAAATCCCCAGAATTTGGGACATATTAGAATTTTTTTAATGAACTAAGCCAACCAGTTGCATCAGCAATTAAAGAGTTTGCTGTACATGCTGACAACTTACCAAAAATTTGGAAGAGAAAATTGGAGTTTGCTATTTTAACATTTAAAAAAAAAATGTTATATATCTTTCTTGTAATTTTAAGGTGAGGTTAATTCACCAAAAATTTTATTTGGGGTTTATTGTAATCCTTAATGGACATTCCTATGTTGGTAAAGGTAAAGGTTCCACTCGCACATATGTGCTAGTCATTCCCAACTCTAGGGAGCAGTGCTCATCTCCCTTTCAAAGCCGAAGAGCCAGCGCTGTCCGAAGACGTCTCCGTGGTCATGTGGCCAGTATGACTAAATGCCAAAGGCCCACGGAATGCTGCTCCCTTCCCACCAAAGGTGGTCCCTATTTTTCTACTTGCATTTTTACATGCTTTCAAATTGCTAGTTGGCAGAAGCTGGGACAAGTAATGGGAGCTCACTCCGTTATGTGGCATTAGGGATTCGAAGCGCCAAACTTTCTGATCGACAAGCTCAGCGTCTTAGCCAGTGAGCCACCGCGTCCCTGTTTTCCTATGTTGAAAATGCAACAAATAAGAAAGTATTTTAGCATCCCTGGTTCTATTGTGTGGCTTATCCAGTCTTGGCTGCTTGAAGACCTGTGGATATCAACTCTCTGAAAGTTCATTTTTGGTCCCAAAGGTGCTTTTTTCAAGAGGCAACTGGACTTCCTGGATTTTTCTTTGAAGACATTTAACTTCTCATCCAAGAAGCTTCTTCAGCTCTGAAGCTTCTGGGATGAGAAGCGAAATGCCTTCAAAGAAAAACCAGGAAGTCCAGTTGCCTCTTGAAAAAAGCACCTTTGGGACAACCATGAACCTGGAGGACTGAGAATCTCCAGAGAAATTCTTCTTTTGGTGTTGTTCATTCTTATTCTTTGAACTTTTTCGCAGATCTTTTCCCGGCTTCAAAAGAGGACAAGGTAACTAACTTTGCATCAAATGACAAATTCGTCCTAGTTCATCTGGAACATTCCAGCTGTTGTTCTGTACTCGTACTCTAACACAACACAGTGCACCAGTTTCTACAAGGCTCAAAATTATCTCTCCCTCTTACAGGAAGAACCTGAAGACCAACCTATCTATGTGGAATGTGACACCAGCAAAGGTGAAGTCCTTTCTTTTGGTGCCTTATCTTCTCCAAGGTAGCATTTCAGGAGAGCTCAGTGGAGCCTCATATACTTTGGCTATGGCTACATTACAAACTATTCTATAGAATATTCAAATAGAATAGAATAGAATAGTGTACATAAAAGAAAAGATACATTAGTCACGAATCATAAGGTATAGAGGCTTCCCAAGAGCACGAAGCAAACTCCTTGTCCTGACAAAAACCACTTTTATCAATTGACTCTGAATTCTGCTCATTCACATCCAGCAAAGTCTTTAGAGGGAGGATTTACAGTCACAGACCTTATCTGGCTTGGAGAGCTGCTAGGCCTGCTAGGCCCATATCTTCAGAACTTGACAAGGAGTCTCGGAGAGTCACAACCAATTAAGCGAAGTAATGGTCTCCTGCAAACTCCATTCCCCTTTCGCTCCTCTTTTATTTCCTCTGGGAGGGGCCCTTCATCGTCCATCTGTAGCCTTCCTCCCAAGTCAACCCCTGTTCTTCAGCTGTTTCCTTCTCCTGGCAGCTCTGCACATGCGCACACTGGGAACAGGCTCCAGCTGTACTTCTGCCTCATTGATGTCTGATTCTGAAGGCAGCTGATAACTGTCAGATGGCTCTGGCCACCTCTCTGCCTCCGACACAGAGCCCTCATCAGAGCCTTCCCCAGACTACAGGACTGGCCCATGTTCCTCCCCAACCCCTCACTGTATGAATCTGCTGCCAGCTCTTCTGCCTGCTGGTGGACCACAACAGGCAGGACCTGTCATAGGCTTCTTCTGCTGGATCTGCTGGGCAAGGCAAATGTAACCAGGAAGAGGTATAACGTGGGCCTTTTCAAACTTAACTAGAGCAAAGTTGCTCCAAACTTCACATCGTGGTCCTGAACTTCTTGTAAGCCACCTTGATCCTAGAGCTGATTTGCTTTTCATTTTTTGCCAGGCTTGGCATCCTGTAAAGGGTCTACTTCTTCAGCCCTGGAACCTCTAACCTGCCTCTTGAAACAAGCCAAGTGAGTAAGATGTATCCAAAGGAGGAGGGCAGGAAAGATGTTTACCCATCAACGTTCCAGATTTGGTGGCCTGGAATTAAAGGCCCTGTAGTTCCAAATCTGGAAACTAGAGCTCGCTCTTTATGCTCTCTAGGGCAGGGGTCTCCGACCTTGGCAACTTTAAGACTTGAGGACTTCAATTCCCAGAGTTCCTCAGCCAGCAAAGTTCCTCCTTCCTTCTTTCCTTCTCCCTTCCTTTTCTCCTTCCCTCTCTTATTTTCCTCTTTCCTCCCTCTCGTCTCCCTTTCCTCCTTCCCTCTCTTGCTTTCCTCCTTCCTTCCTTCTTTCCTTCCTTCCTTTCCTCCTTCCCTCTCTCTTGCTTTCCTCCTTCCTTCCTTTCCTCCTTCCCCCCTCGCTCCTTCCCTTCTCTTTTCCTTTCCTCCATCCCTCTTTTGCTTTCCTCCTCCCTCCCTTCCTTCTCCCTTCCTTTAATTTTTAGAGCAAAGCTGGCTGAGGAACTCTGGGAGTTGAAGTCCACAAGTCTTAAAGTTGCCGAGGTTGGAGACCTCTGCTCTAGGGCACACAACAGCTGAAAGACTGGCTCATTCTGATGCAGAAGGTTGAGAATTATCCTAATGTTCCATGCAGAGGCTTGAAAGCAATGGCTACTGCAGGTGGGTCATTCCTACTCCTGTGTAAATCCAGTCCAGAAATTCAGGAATCTGTTGTGTGGACGATGGTTTGGCAAGAACATAGGTAGTCCTTGACTTACAACCACAATTGAGTCCAAAATTTCTATTTCTAAGCAAGACAATTGTTAAGTGAGTTTTGACCCATTTTATGACCTTTCTTGAAACAGTTGGTAAGTCTGTCGCTGCAGTTGTTAAGTTAGTAATATGGTTGTTAAGTGAATCTGGCTTCTCCTTTGGTTGTCAGAGAGTCAGAAAAGGGGGTCACATGACTGGACACTGCAACTGTTTTAAGTCAAGCATACAACATTTGATCACGTGACCATGGGGATAGTGAAATGGTCATAAGAGTGAAAAATAGTCATACATCACTTTTTCCAGTGCCATTGTAACTTCAATCACTTAATGAATGGTTGTAAGTTGAGAACTACCTGTATTAAGGACAATCATACAGGTGGGCAAGAGAGTGGTGCAGTGGCCTAGAGGTGGAGCTCTCGCCTCATGATCCGGAGGCTGTGAGTTCGATCCTAGGTAGCAGCAGGTATTTCTTTCTCTGGGCACATGAGAATATATCTGCTACAAACTCTGCATTGGCAACAGGAAGGGCATCCAGCCAGTAAACACTCCATTCAGTTGTCCAGACTCTACTCCCATGTAAGGTCATTAAAAGCCAAACAACAACAACAAGTGAGGCAAGAGGTCAGACAGAGAATCAGGAGCACAGAGAGCTCCAAGTAATACTGGATTGGTGTTAGATTGTATCCAAACATCTACAATATTTTTCGGAGTATAAGACGCAGGAGCACTCTACAAGCCTGCCAAACCTATGCATGCCCTGTTTTTTTTTTTTTTAAAAAAAA